AGGGCCAGGCGTACGCGGGGAGTCGCGCCATACCGCTCGTGTGGACCGCAATGCGCAACGCGCATGAAAGAAAGCCGCGACGCGCGAAGTGGGTGAAAGAACGCCGCGGGATGCGTGGGGTGATACAGGACGCGTATGGCGCGTGCGTGGGTGGCGGTTCCGTCGGCGCGTGGAAGGGTAGCGCAGGCATATCGAAAGAGGGCGGGTGTATTGATAGAGGGCGGGCGGCAGAGCTGCGGAGGCGACCTCATGAACATCCACGTAGGCGGATGCGGAGAGGCAGAAGAAGCAGACACGTCCATCCCATAGCAACCCGATTCTGGTCCCGCTACATGTCCGCGCATGAGCCAGAGATGAGCCCTACACGAGCTCGACATGCACCGTCCTCGTTGTCGCAAGCGCCCGCGACTCAGCTCCACCTCCTGTCTGCGCAAACACCGTCCCCGTTACACGACGATCCCTCCATCTCCGCCCGCGCTCAGTCATAGCCCCGCCCCGGACGCGCGCACGCTCCAGCTCCTGTGATGTCTTCGACGTCGCTGCACAGACCCCGACTCAGCTACTAGCCCCCGTAGTAAGACGACGAAGAGCCAGAGGAATCCCCGGGTGCTAGTACCAGGAGGATTTGCGAGTGCAGCGCCGGGGCGGAGGCGACATGCCGCGGACAGAATGAGACCCGACGGACGCGGGGTAAATGCGTAGAGATGACGGTTGGGATCGCGCGCCGGGAGTACTACCCGCGGCGCGCGGGTGGCATGGGGGCCCACAGACGCGAGGGTAAGGCGCGACATGCATTGCGGACGTCCCTTGAGGAAGACACGTATCAGCCAATGGGGGCGAGACCTCTTCCTCTATATCTACGCCAGGTCTACCCACGACGATCCTCCCTCTCCATCTGTGCACGCCTCAGTAACCCAGCCTCATGCGCCGACTAGTACGTCCACACGCATTCGCTCGGGATAAGATCCGTCCGAGCTCGACGTCGATTGCTGCAAGGCCCCGACTCGGACTGCCCGCCGCGGGATAGAAGCGAGCCGGAGAAAGCGGTATACTACTGTATTCTGGAAGTGGGAATTGAGCCGCAGGCGACGGAGAGTGAAGGAACGCCGAGCCAAACGCGCAGAGTAGCGTGGGGCGCATCGATTGTAGAGGCCGCGGCTGTCGGTGCATTTTGCGCGCGGCCACACACGCAGAGTCGTTAAAAGACAGCGGGGCCACATCGGTAGAGGGCGATACGGCCTGCATAGGCGGCAGTAGCAGCACGCGAGGTGCGTAAAGGGATTTGAGAGGTAGGCGCGGAGGACGGCCAGCCCGCCGCCGAAACGTCCAGCTCGGCGCCAGCTCCATCCCAAGCGCATGGGCCGTCGCTACGGAGTCGCGCGATGCGTGTGGGGAAGCCTCCATCATCGACGGCAGCGGAGCGTGTCCGACAAGTCGGTGGATAGGAGCATGCGCCAGCGGTACCACAGACGGCGATGCGAATGACTTCAGTGAGAAAGCTGCTCGCATCCGCGACTCGTGTGCCCATCGCTGCCTGCGTCGAAGACGCGATGCCACCGCTGCGAACTGCGACGAACATCCATGTGCTCTTCATCGGCCGAGCGAGGCCACGTCATCGGGGACTGCGCACGAGGCTGGCGCGCGAGGCATAGGAGGGGACGAGCCCGTAGCGCATCATTACTTGGCATAGGCGCGCTTGCATCGATGCTGGAGTGTGGAGGCAGACATGAATGCGCGGAGGGCATTGTCGAGGATGGCGAGTCGGCACCGAGCATCGCAAAGCGGCGTTTTCCTCCACCACGCGCTCACGCAACGATGCCCTCTTCTACCGGCACGGGCTTGTGGAGGCGCTCCGTGGGAGGGGCCGCTGGTGGTGGTGGTGCGGAAGTAGTAGTGGGGTTCGTGTGGCGCCGCGTGGGAAGGCGGGGCTGAAGAGGATGGCGTATAGGCGAAGCATCCAAGCTACCGCAGGGCGGCGCGGAGGGAGAGGAAGGCGAATGGTCTTGCACCTCTTGTCTGTAGACGGTCTTGGAGGACTGGCATGTCTAGGGCTGGATCCAGAAGCTCCGCAAGTAGGCAGGATGGCTGCGCCGACAGGACGAGATAAAAATGGAATGAAGTGGATTGTGAAGCTGAATACGCACCTTTCGTGTCCAATTCGTCCATCCGACTCGCGGATGCTGACATACAAGCAAGGATCTCCACCCCCGCGAGATTATGTGCCCGTACAGCGGTGAGGAAGGAAGCTGCGCGTTTCCCCGGTTGAGATGAGATGAGGAAGGTGTGGAAAGCGAAAATGCTGGCACGCGCACCGCTCGTATCCGATCTGTGCTGAAGATGGCGAATAGCCAGGTGACGCGCGCCGAGAGTATTGCTGCTCGAGTTGTGCGCGGGACGCTTGCAGTCCATGGGATCCGGAATGTACACACGGTCTACGAGCGGATCCGCGTCAGAATCAGCGAAAAAAGGACGGTTTTGCTAACGCACGGAGGATATCAGACAAGAATTTCAGACAAAGATGTCGTGGGCAGTGGATTCTGGCGCAGGCAGAGCTAGGCAGCCATCTCGCGGACTCTGAGCTTTCTGCTACAATACGAGATCAGATACTTTTATTGATTGACCTTCGACGAAAACGAACGGACCGCGCACTGTATACCAATGATTCCGACGGATAGGTATCCCTCAGCTCCGCGACCTGTGAAGGTACCGCCTCCCGCGCTCTGAGGCTCCCCGATAGTTTGGGTCCTTCTGTCGTACCGCCTTGAAATCAGAGAAGCCGAAGGGACCAAGAACGAGCCAGTTCAGAGAGGCGACATGCAGATTTTTGGAACTCTCGGTTGCGGTAGGGTAGCCATGGGACGGTAGCAAGCCGACGAGGGAGAGGTGAGCTAGTCAACGTCAAGAGCAAGGAACAGGTGCACGTGACATTAAACCTTGTCTCCAACGTCCACCTCAGTTTTCTCGATTCCACCAACGAGCGCGTATTTCGCGTCGCATTCGTACTTTGACGCGCAAAATTAGAGCATTTAGCCGCTGTATCCTTCTTCCTCCTTCCCAGCAGGCCTCTTGCCAGTGGAATCGATCTCCTCTCAAAAGAACAAATGCAACTAAAGACGAACTGGAGGTTTGAACTAATGGGCAAGAGTGACCCGCAATAATTCCCAATTCATGTATCCTCCTCGATATTTCCCTACTACTGGCCGACCGCGAACGAAAATCACCCCAGATTCAGCTCGCTTCCCTCCTATCTTTACCCTTCGCATTTCTATGAATGAAGCCGTCGTCGACCAAGGGAAGGTCCTTCTCTAAGCGTAAAGGATCTTGCTACTCCAGCTACGAGAAAGACGGGGGTTCGACTCCTCCCGATGACATTCATGGATGATAGCTTTTTTTATGGTATCGTACCTCGTTCTGGACCCCCTTCGCGAAAAGCTCTATGTAGCTCTCAACTTCCTACTGCGCACTCGCTAGTTCCATCCGTAGAGGTACGCAGTCTCTTTACACCTTGGATCTCACTTAACGCGGAGCACACAGGGAGATGAAGCCTTCGTCGACCAGTGGCGGTCCCTCTCTCTCAGTAGCTTTGTCTCCAAAGAGAGATACGAGACAGCTGAGGGTTCGACTCCCCCCGACGGCATTGTCTTTCAAGCCCATCCTTTTTTTTAGCTCTGGCGTGCCTCTGTCCCAGCCGATCTTCGTACGCAACCTAAGATCTGAGTCATTCCTCAACATGACTGCTACCTTCGCAGAACTTCTACTTGATCGTCGCTCGAGTCGACGGTATGCACCATCCTCCCACCTTTCGACCTCACTTAACCACTGCAAGTATACGCCAGGAAGCCGTGTTCGACCAGTGGAAGGTCCTTCTCAAATGGTACATGATGTACCCCCGCATACGAGAACCCTGGGGGTTCGACTCCTCCCGACGGCATCATCCACGCGTCGAGTTTTTTTTTTTCTTTTGGCCAGGTTGCCTTGAGACCTGTATAAGTACATGGTCGAATTTATTTGAGTAAGTATCTTCTGGTTAATCTCGTCATACTGTCGCCCGCTTTGATTTATTTATCCCAGTCCTGGAAGTGCATTCGTTTCTCTTTCGGCATTCCACCTCACTTAACCCAACCCAAAGACCGGAAAGGAAGCCGTCGTTGACCAGTGAGAGGTCGTTCTCAACTGGTACATACTCCAACAGTCCTGCATACGAGAATGCTGGGGGTTCGACTCCTACCGACGGCATGGTCCACGCGTCGGGTGTTTTTTCTTTCGGCCATATTGTGTTGAGACCTGTGTAAGTACGTGGTCGAATTTATCTGAGTAAGTATCTTCTGGCCAATCTCGTCATACTGTCGCCCGTTTTGATTTATTTATCCCAGTCCTGGAAGTACGTTTGTTTCTCTTTTCCGCATTCCACCTCACTTAACCCAATGTAAAGACAGGCAAGGAAGCCGTCGGCGACCAGTGAGAGGTCGTTCTCAACTGCACATGCTCCATATAGCCCTGCATACGAGAATGCTGGGGATTCGACTCCTCCCGACGACATGATTCATAGCGCGCGGTCTCTTTTTGGCTAGGTGGCGTTGAGCGCTGGTTACGCACCCGAATCTCTTGCTTCGTTCTTTTCAACATCCGTACCCCGCTTCTTCTCATCAACTTCATCATTATTTCATCACCGGGAGGTACGCACATTCTTTGCACGATCACGATCCACCTCACTTAACCCTCAAGCCGTCGTCGACCAGTGGAGTTCCTTCTCAAATGGTAACTCCGAATGCGAGAATGCCGAAGGTTCGACTCCTCCCGACGGCATGCGACCGTTCGGATCCGATGATTTTTTGGTCAGGCTGCGATGAGTATCATTTACGCACCCGAATCTTTTGCTTTGGTCTCTCCAGCGTCCATGCCGTGCTTCTTTTCTTCGACCTCATCATCGGGAGGTACGCACATTCCTTTCTCTTTCCACATTCCACCTTACTTAGCCCGACGCAAATACAGGTCGGGAAGCCGTCGTCGACCAGTGGAAGGTCCTTCTCAAATGGTGTGTTCCACGTACTCCTGCATACGAGAACGCTGGGGGTTCGAATCCTCCCGACGGCAAATATGTATGTCGAGGTCCATTTTTTTCATCATTTATGCACATTCCTTTCTCTTTCACATCCCACCTCACTTATTCCCGTCCAAATACAAGCAAGGAAACCGTCGTAGACCAATGAAGGTCCTTATTGAAAAGTACATCTAGAGAAGCCACTTAGCTATGAGAGAAAGCCGGGGGTTTGACTCCCTCCGACAGCATGGCCCATTTCTCCGGTATTTTTGGCCAGGTCGCGATGAGCATTCTTTACGCACCCTAATCTCTTGTGCGGAGAGGTTGATTTCTTGGGAAGCAGGACATGTTGAATATAAATGTAATTACGCCAATCATTATAGCTTTGGCTATGCGCTCGTTGGCAGCATTACGGACAGATTGGTGTCCGGTCGGCAATAGGGAGCAGGAGGCCATTTTATAATCGGGCTACCGTGGAGCTATCCGAATAGTTAAAGCTGATAGAGTTTCTGAGAATTGGAATATCGGTCCAGTATAATAATCTCTGTGCGCATGCCTAACTTATGTCTATCTAAACCATGTGGTGATACGGATCAATTTTTCAAGGGGGCGCGCAAACATCTACTCCCCCCTAGCTGCATCAAAGGACGGTCGTGCCTTAGCTCTGTTGCTGGTTCTTTGCCCTACACGTGACCGCTTCATCCGCGCATGACTACCATAACATCCGCGCATGACTACCATAACATGCCCCAACACTCTTCCTTCCTTACACCGACAACCAAATCTTGGATCCAGCTTGAACCACACGTAGTCGCCACTCACTTGGCAAGCAAACTATTCCTTTTGGGAGTTTACGGATGAATAACTCCTTACATAGCCTCTCCAAAGTTTCTTCAACGAACGCCTCTCTCCCAGTCTCGACTCTATGCCTCCAGTCCCTGGAGAGCTGGTAGACTTGATCATCTCTTCGTTGCTTCCTACTGCGCTCGAACCCAGGAACGAGGACGTCAACTACCTTGACGGATCCCTGGCTGTTGTTGTGGGGAAATGCGCCCTTGTCTGTATGGACTGGGTCCCTTCAAGTCGGCGTGCCCTTTTCTACCGGATCCACATCAGACAAGACAGTGTCTACGGGCTCGCGAAGCTATTCAACCGACCACAGCGCCTTACCTTCCTCCGCTTCATACGAGAGTTGAACTCCGGGATGGCATTGCAGAGCATCGCTGGATGCACACATTCTCGCCTCTGGGTTGTCCCCGGCTCTCTCAGCTCTCTATCTTTCGACAGAACACAATTTAAATTGCCCTGCGCAGATGCTCATTACTGCCTGCTTGGCGGTGCGGGCGGTAATTCCTTTCCGGGTCGAACCTTTGAAGTTTGTACTAGGTTCTCTTTTTATTTATACGGGGTATACTACCACATCCGCATTGTGAGTAAGTCGCACTTTCTCTCATTTTCAACCCGCCGATATATATCTTGTCCTGTAGAAATTAAACCGCGATATTCGCGCCTTCTATGCCCACGATGACGTCATGCTCCAATTTTACCTCACCGAATCTTTTGCTCTCTACCACCATGAGCGACGCCACACCCAGGAGATCTTCCGCTACGCCTCACCGTGACTTGGGCAGCGAGCAGGAAGGTGCCACGCCCCGCATCCCTGACGCCTCAGTCAGCGAGATGAACAACGAAGAAGCGCAGCAAACGGGGTATCTCTCCGGGCTCGGAAGTGCGAAGAATTACATCCCGCAGGGAGTCACAAACTATTTCGGTGGGTCAGGTATGTTATCTTAACATTATCTTACTCAGCTATTGACTTACACGACGTCCAGCGAAATCTACAGGGTCAGACTCAGAAACTCGCCCCCGCCACTCAAACGGCGCTGCAGCGGAACCGGATGACGAGACTGCGAGCACCACGACAGATCTTACGGAGCTGAGCACCACGGCTCAGGCGGGCTCTCTCGCGCCCTCCGGCGCCGCCTCGCCCGCCTCAGCCTTTTCCGTTGACGACCAGGCGACGGACGAGCCCAAGTCTAATGTGGATGAGGAATCCGCAGGCGCGAAAGAACCCGGAGTAGATCCCAGCCCCGCCGACTCGAGCCCATTTCTGCACGAGGACCACGCCTCCGCGCGGATTCCTTCCCCTGCCCGGATCAACCTCGCGCCGCGGACACACCCGCTCGCAGACGGCGACGCGCAGCATGGCGGGTTCCTTCTGCGAGAGAGCGTGCAGGCGAAGCTGGACGAGGAGCGCGCAGAGGGCGTGCGGTCGCCCGCGTATAACGATGCGGGTCCCTCTGCGCCGTTCACGACACGCTCGGAGGACGAGTACTCGTCGGACGAGGCGCGGGAGGACGCGCAGGGTGGGAAGGTGAAGCGCCTAGTGAAGCGCCTGAGGGGCGAGGCAAAGGTGATCAGCGGGCAGATTCGACGCGATCCGGAGAGGCGGGAGGAGGGGAAGAATATGAAGCGCCAGGCATAGTCGTATGTCTGCGGAATTGGACGCTTTAACTTTGAATATCACATAATCGTGAGTTGTACAATTATACAGGTCTCTAAAAGCCTTCTGCAAAGTATGTATGGGACTGGACTACGAATCCACTTGTTGACGATCGTTAGACCCAATCTCGCATTTCTGCTGCAGCCCTCAGGATTGAGGGACGTCCTTCCCATTCCAATGCTGCACGCGAACCCACTTGTGCCAATCTCGCACCCATACAGAATTGGCTGGAGTGCCTGGCTGGACCGTAACATAGTCCCTTTAAATTTGTGAAGCATAAGCAACGTTCTAGCATGTATATCTGTTCGATTACGTACCATCCGCTAGGGTCTTGCTCTCCAAATTGACGGCGCGGGCTCGTGGCATATCGAATAAACAGCGCGTGGCGAACGAAAGATAAATATGAGAGTAGCGGGAGGTGACGCGCGCTGGAGGGATATGAAATAATGTAGTAACCGCCGCAGGGGAGGGCTAGCGCTTCCCCACGACGAAAAGAGAAAACAAAGGAGGGGGTATTCTTGCAAATCCGAATTCAGTTGTCCAAAATTCAGCGGAATAACACGCGACGCAGTAATTGATAAGATACCTTTAATCGACATCACCGACGCCACCACCCAGTCCCTGTCGCCGCCACCGGAAGCCCCAGCCCCGCGCCGCACCCATTCACCGGCGAGTCCGAGCCCTTCGTCACCCGCCGTCCGCTCGCTCCCGCCCCCGCTCCCGCCTCCGCCCGTGCCGAATCCTACCCCGTCCGAGGCACCTCTCCGCGATGCAGTTCGCACTCACGCCATACGAGCGCGCGCCGCACTTCCCGCGCGGCCATACCGTACGTCCCGCAGAGGAGTGGCGCACGAAAACGATCCGTACGAAGAAGGCATGCTCCAGTCTTCACGTTCAGCCTTACGTCCGCTGCTCTTTCTGCAGAGCCGCTGGGCTCGAGAGCCTCCAGGCCCCGGGTGCGGAGGGGGAAGAGGACACATCAGAGCACGTAAACGTTGCGAGTTCCGGCTGTTTCGGGCAGGTTGGGTTAATATGGATTGCGAGAGGAGCGACATGGACGCAACGGGGTTTAAATATCCTTGGGCTGCACAGCAGCATGGACGTCCTGGGAACGGCGACGAGTGATCCCCGCGGATAGTACGGCACAGAAGAGTGGCAGAAAAACAGAATGAAGCGGTTCAAAGTTCACAGTATGAGAAAGACGAAGTCCTGAGAAGGGAGACTGGTCAGCAAGAGGTGGGGAGCGCGGGCAGACACGGCGAGAGTGGCAATTGGCCAGAAGGGCAGAAGTTGGAACAAGTGGAGCGGACACGCGGAAGACTAGTGATGGTATCAGTGCCAAGACTTGCTCTAAATATAGCGAACGAGCAAATCGAGGGTGAATTACTGGTGAATTGCGGATAATCCGAAGTAAACCAGGACCGAAATTGACAATGTGAGGAAGTGATTTTTAGGAAGGAAACGAAAAGGAACCGGACCATGGTAGACCGGTCGGCAGTCGCCGTTGTGCGAGAGGAGCACTGGATTTACACTTGAAACCAAGATGTGGCAGATTCTGGCAGATTGTGTGCACACACCATCGAGGGATCAACCATGTTTCGAGTTGAATAGTCCTCGGTAAAAGGTAGATGATTGTCCGACCCCTTCTCGCCCTCTCCACGCCGCGTCCTTCCACTTCGGATTCTTTCAAGATTCTTTGACAAGACACAACATGACATCACCTTATTGACAGCGGGGCACGCACCTGAGAGCTAAAGTGCGTTAAACGCACCTACTCGTTGCCTACTCGGCACCTGGTACCGCGGCTGACAAAGGCGTTTCGGGCAAACAAAGGGGGCTTTGTCGGGCCCCCGCAAGCCCCATTTGTCCGCCCAAAGATGCGTTACAGGGTGCCGAGTAAGTGCGTTTAACGCAGTTACTTTTCGGGTGCTTTGGTATGAACGAAGCAAAATTGAAAATAAGTAGATTTTCATGTTTACAGTCGACAGGACGCTGCCGCACTTTCGTTGCCACAAACCACAGCAGAGGATAGTTGTTGATGGGAGTACCAGGTGTCGGCGTCTATATAGAAACCCCTGACGCCAAGATTGATACCATGAGACGACGTGATACGGATCCATACTTTCGGGTACGGATATATACCGCCCACTTTCCACGCTTCGGGAGAGTCGAGACCAGTCGAGACCCTCCCCCCACCTTCCTTCATCATAGCTGGACTATCATTGTCAATTTATTATTCTATCCTCACGTGCAACCAGTTCAACCTCTAGATATGCCAAGCTTCCTCTCCCTCTCCCTCTTCCTGCTCCCGTTGCTACAGCCCGTACTGGGCGAAGGTGCGCCTATATACGCATTTCTCGGAACGCTGCATATTAATGAACGATATTTTTGCAGTCTCCGTTGGGCTCTTCGTGCCTGCCATCGCGAAGAACGATAAAATCACTGACACCCAAAAATTTCTGGAGGGGGCAATACCACTAGTCAAGAACGAAAACCAGACGATCCAGTGGTTCGGCGTCAAATTCACTGACGTCAACCCTCCGACTTTCG